ATTTGCCCCATCCTGGGTATACAGGATATATAGACTGAGGGCCTCTGGAGGAGTGTGTACCCTCCTGGTCTCTACAAACTACTTAACTTTAAACAACAAGAAGGGCTTGTAAACCAAGTTTGATGGCATTTGGTGGCGCATGCCTGTAATCCCAGTGATTTGGGAGATTTAGGCAGGAGGATTGTGAGTTTAAAGCCAGTCTCAGCAATTTAAAGAAACCCTAAGCAACTAGACCCTGTCTCAAAATAAGAAAACGGTCTGGGGAAAAAAAACGTAGTGTTTGTGGTGGCTCCAACTTTCACCACACCCCTGGGTACATCTCCAAAAAGCCTCAGGTGTGAATATAGCCCCGTCAATATTGCCACTAACCAATTCAGAGAGAAATGTGGGGCAGAGTACAGCCTGCATACCACCCCCAATGCATTCTGTGGGAGCTAAGAGGAAAAACAACTGTTTTTTTTTTGCTATCATCAACTACCAACCCCCCATAGCTGACTTATTCCAACATGAGAAGACCCAGAAAGAAACATGTAATCCAAGCGCCTCAGTTAGAAGAAATTTGTGACTGTTTTTTTATCTTGTTATTTTTTTTCTTATTTTGAGCCTGCTTTACTTTTTTTATTCTTTAAAATATTTTTCTGTTTTCCTCTTTCTCATTATTCAATTTTTAAAAATATTTTCTTCTTTCTTTTTTTCCCCTTTTTGCTTTCCTCCTCTTATACTTTTTATAAATTTTACTTTTATAACTTTTTACATATTATTTTGCCATTTTCTACTGTCATTGGTGATATTGTGATAATTTTAATTGGTTATTTTTTTATGTTGTTGTTGTTATTCCTGTTTGATTTCTTTATTCTGATAAGGGTACGGATTGAGTCCAATACCTTTAACACATTGGGTGGGTTCTTTGCCACCGAATTATACCCTTTAGCTCAGTTTAGAGGAACTGCTGTTTATTCCATCCATAAACTAGTCCTTAGTACACACTTCAACTTAAAGAATAGGGGAAACAAAAGCCCCCAGTTTATGATCAGGGACTAGGGCTACAGAAGGCCTGAAGTCCCACTCCTGGACAACACCCCACCTTAGCGATAACAGTGAAAAATAGTTCAACTCTTGTGGACACTAAAGCCAGAATTAGACAGGCAGACAGTATAGGTAGGTAAATCTAGTCAGGTCAGATCTAGGAGGCCAATTTTGAGTTAGTCCAGGAAGTTGGGGACTGTCCCTGAGAGAGTGACATGTTAATTCCTTCAGAGCCCTTCCTCCACCATTATTAAGAACAGGTCCCAGCTGTAATCTGTTGCTAAGGTAATTTATCCCAGGAATTGCCCCTCTCTTCGGGGGAGCTATAAGGTTGTTAATTAATGTGTCCTTGGCTGCTCCATCCTGCCCTTCCCCCTTCAGCCCACCTGTTCCCCATCTTTTGGCCATCCCGCTGAGCATTTCCTAGGCCTAGCCAAATGCCTAGTCTTGTAAGCAGGAAGGAGTATGATAATAGGAAGAGGGCAGGAGAACAAAGGAAGCCTAGGACGTGTGAAAAAGGGCAGAACACCTGCTTCTTGGATACCAACTATCCCTCTTCTCCCTCTGCAGAGAAGTCTTTTAAAATAAACCCTGCTTTAAATGCTTGCCTCTGCGTGTTTCTCTAATGTTCAAAACATTAGATGGGATGGGAATAGGATGGACAGAATAAATCAGACATAACTTTCCTATGTTCATATATGAATACACGAACAGTTTAACTCCACATCATGTACAACCACAAGAATAGGAAGTTATACTCAATGTATGTATAATATTTCAAAATACATTCTATTGTTATGTATAACCAAAAAGAACAAAAGAAAAGCAGCATTGCTTCATGAAAAAAGCCCTGAACAAATTAATTACAAAAGGTTCATAACTCAACCTAATAATGGCTATGTATGACAAAATCATAGCCAATATAGCAGAGGGGTGGGAGGGGAAGGAAGGGGGCACGAGGTTAGAAATGATGGTGGAATGTGATGGACATCATTACCCAAAGTAAATGTGTGAAGACATGAATTGTTGTGAATATAATTTGTATACAACCAGAGATATGAAAATTTGTGCTTTATATTTGCAATATGAATTGTAATGCATTCTGCTATCATGTATAAAGAAAAAAAAGGAATGCATTTTCTCTAAGATCAGGAATAATACATTTCTCTAAGATCAGGAATAATAATAAGTTTCCACTCTTGCCACTCTTATTCAATATATTACTAGAAATTTTAGCACAAACAATTTGGCCAGAGAAAAATATAGTTATACAAATTGAAAAGACAAGTCTAATTACCCTGGTTTGTAGAAGATATGGTTCCATACTTAGAAAATCCAAAAGACTCCACAAAAAGACTTAGATCTGATAAATTCAGCAAAGTAGCTTTTCTATACACCAATAATGAATTTACTGAGAAACAAATCATGGAAATAATCCCATTGACAAAATAAAATAAAATACCTTCAAAAATAAATAAAATACCTAGGAATATTCCTAATTAAGGAAATGTAAGAATTCTACATTTAAAATTATGGAACACTGAAGAAAGAAATTTGAGTAGACACTAGAAGATGGAAAGAATTCCCATGTTCATGGATTTGGAGAATCAATATTGTTAAAATGGCAATACTACCAGAGGTAATCTACAGACTCAATGCAATACCCATAAAATAACAATGACATTTTGCATAGAAGTAGAAAAAAAATCTATAAAGCATTAATTTAAAAAAAACTACCAAAAAATAGGAGGAAGACAGTAGATTAGAGGAAAGGGAATAGAGGGAGGGAGGAAGAGAGGGAAAGGGAAGTATTGGGAACTGAAATGGAGCAAATTATATTCCATGAATGTCAAAATGAACTCCAATATTATGTATAAATACAATGTGCTAATAAAAAGAATTATATTTAAAACATTAAAAATACTTATCAATGAGTTTTCCCCTAATCAATGGTGTCTGGTATTAACATTGCCACATCAACTTTGTTTTTGTTATTATTTGCCTAGTATATTATTTTCCATTCTTTGCTTTCATTTTTTGGCATATTTATGTCTTAAACATTTCTTGTAAACTGCAAGGACCTAGCTTTTGTTTTTGTCACTTTTATTCCAATAAGCCATTTAGTTATAGTGACTGTCATTTAACCCATTAAGTTATAGTAACTTCATTGCGTATATATTCAAACTAATTTTTTCCTTATATTTTGAGATTTTTAGATATCAATCTTTTTCTGTTTTTTCCTTCTTTCCTATTTTTCTTAAGATGGATTTCTTAAATTCTATTTTTATTTGTTTTGATTTGAGAGTTAAATATGCTGCTTTTCACCTTTAATATTTACTCTTGTAATTATATAACAAATTTAAATGTAAATTATATCTTGAAACTCCTCCCCCAATATGAAATGCTTTAAATATTATCTTCACATTTTGTTTTATGTTTTTATTACATATTACTTCATTTTTTTGTTTAGCACATACCATTTTAATGGCTTTATTATGATATAATATATTCAATAAATTGCACATGTGTAAAATGTGACATTGCATAACTTTTGACACATGTGTACAGCCACAAAACCATCATCTTAATCAAGATAATAAACATATTCATCACTCCCAAATGTTTCTTTGTGTCCTTCATAATTTCTCCTACCCATCCTGGGGCAACCACTAGGTACTTTTTGTTAGTATAGATAAGTTTAAATCTCAAGAAGTTCATATAATTCAATTATACAGTCCACATTGTTTATATTTTTCATTCAGCAAAATTATTTTTAATATTCATCCTTTTTTGATTGTGCTGGTGATTCATTCCTCTATATTGTTGAGTAGTATTCCATTGCTTATTCATTCATCTGCTCATAGAAATTCATGCTATTTCCAGATTGGGCTTATGATAAATGAACATTCATGTAAAGGCTTATACTGGTGTTTCATTTTCTTTCTCTTCAGTATATATCTATGAGTGGAAAGAGAAGGTCATATTGTAAATACATGTTTAACTTTTTAAGAAAATGCCAAATTGTTTTTCAAAGTAGTTGCATTGTTTTACATTCCACCCATCATTTCTTCCATATCTCCACTAATAATGGTATCACATGTGGTTTTAATTTGCATTTCACTAATTACTAATAATGTTAAATATATTTTCTTGTGCTTATTTGCAATCTATATTGCTTTAATTTTATTTATCCATTCATCTGTTGATAGACACGTAGGCTGAATACATATATTGGCTATTGTGAATTGTGCCGTGGTAAACATGGGTATGCATGTATCTCTAAAGTATACTGGCTTAACTTCTTTTGGATAAATACCAAGGAATGGTATGGTTGAAACATATGGTATTTCAATGTTTAATTTTTTGAGGAACATCCATAATGATTTCCATAGTGGCTGTGTTAATTTACATTTTTATCGACAGTGTATAGGAGTTCCTTTTCCCCCACATATTCACCAGCATTTATTGTTGTTTCCAACACTCTTTTGAAAACAGGTTTTAATTTTGATGAAGTCCAAATTATGTTTTTAATTTATTTGATTTAGCTTTTTTTATTTTTCTTTTGATTAACATGTTAATGGCACATTCAGTGATATTTATTTTTACATAAGCATACAACATGCACTAATCAAATCCAACCTTGCTTTATCCATCATCCCCAACAACGTATCCTGCCCAACTCTAGTTATCATTACTCATACATGAGAGACAACATACTGTACTTGTATTCGTCTTGTTTATGTCATTTAATATCATGCACTATGTTTTCTCTCCATTTTGCTGCAAATGAAAAGATTTCATCTTTTCATGCCTGAATATTATTACATTGTGTTTATCTCTGTGTGTTTCTGCGTGTGTATAATATATATATATATGATATCACATTTTCTTCATATGTTGATGGGCATCTGGGATGATTCCATATCCTGTCTTCTGTTTATAGCGCCACAAATAGACATGGACATATATGTATATCTTTGGTATGTTTATTTCATTTTCTTTGGATACATACAAAGAAGGGGGGTAGCTGGATAATATGGTGCATGTTTTTATGGGTCAAACTTTGGTGGCATATCTAAGAATTGCCTACTCAGTGTCAGCTTAGACTACCATAACACTATACCACAAACTGGGAAAATTAAATATTTATTTTCTCAACCTGGAGGCTAAAAGTCCAAGATCAAGGTATGAGCATGGTTGATTCCTGGTGAGATCTCCCTTACTGGCTTGAAAATAGATGCTTCTTTTTTTTCACTGTGTCTTCTTAAGGACTTTACTCTGTGAAAAAAAAAGAAACCATCTATTATTAAGATATGTAAGAGAGACATATCTGATGCCTCATTCTTATAAGGACAGTCATTGGAATAGAACCACACCATTATGGCCTCATTTAGCCTTGAGTAACTCCTTAATATAGTCCCACTCAGGTTGGACTTCAATATATAAATTGGAGGTTGCATTGGGGGCCACAATTCAATTTATAATATCAAGGAACAAGGATTTTCTCCTAAAAGTTTATAGTTGGTGGTTTCACATTTAAGTGCATGAGCCATTTTTTTATTTGGTGTAAGATATGGACCAAACTCCTTTCTTTGCATATTAATAACCAATTGTTTTAACATCACATATTGAAAAAACAGTCATTTCACCACTCAATTGCCCCCAAACTCAGTTTTCCATTTATTGTGTGTTTATTTTTGAATTTTTAATCCATTTAATTTTTTTATATATCTATCATTATATATCTATCATTATGCCAGGTCCACATGTCTTTACTGATTACTGTTTTTTTTTTTGGGGGGGGGGTGAATACCAGGCACTCAGGGGCACTCAACCACTGAGCCACATCCCTAGCCCAATTTTGTATTTTATTTAGAGACAGGGTTGCTTAGCACCTTGCTTTTGCTGGCGCTGGCTTTGAACTCACCACCCTCTTGCCTCAGCCTCCTGAGGAGCTGGGATTACAAACGTGCCAACACACCCAGCCTGATTACTTGTATAGTAATTTCAGAAATCAGGAAGCAACCATTTGTCTTTTTGTCAAGATTACTTTGGCTATCCTGATGCCAAGTGGGATTTATATCATTTTATCCATTTCTGAAAAAAAAAGCCTGCTGAGTTTTTAATTGAAATTGCAATGAATCTATATATCAATTTAGGGATAATTATAACATCAGAATCTTAACAGTTTTCCAATCCATGAATAATATATACCTCTCAGTTTCTTTAGGTCTTATTTAAGTACTGTAAGATACATTTTATAGTTATCATTTATTGATGTTTGAATCTTGAACATCTTTTGTCAGATTTATTCCTAAGTATTTCCATATTTTGGTGCTATTGAAAGTGGCACTTTTTGAATTTTACATTTTTGATATCATATTTGGGTATCATATAAGATCATTTTATACTGAATTTGTCTTCTGCAGTATTATTAATATCACTTATTTATTTCCAGGATATATTTTGCAGATTTTATCAGATTTTTCCACATTAAATAATCATGTTGCTTATGAATAAATAAACTTCACTACTTCCTTTCTAAACTGTATGCCTTTTGTTAATATTTCTTGTCTTGTTGAACTCACTTGAACTTCCAGTACAATGTTAAATAGAAATATCGAGAGCAGTCATCATTTTCTTATTCCTGATCTTATAGGGAAAGCAGTCTTTTTATTCAATATAATTTATTTTGTATGTTTTGAGTTCATCCTCAAAACACAGTTGGCAGATTTTTTTTCTAATTGTACAATGCTATATTATGGAGGAGGGAAGGGCGTGTTTGATAAAAGTAACACACTTTTCTTCCCTCTGCTGTATTACTCTCTTAGTATTGTGCTTATTGTGGATATTGTGCTCACTTAGATGGTTTGGGCAGTTCTCACAAAGTAATTTTGTCTGTACATTTTTATTTACATATTTCTGAAATAATGATGACCTTGGATTTACTAATCTGCTACCCTGCTGATGTCATGGCATTGCTATAATTTTATATGTTATGTTTGCAAAATATATTACTCCAGCCTAGAAAAAGATAAAAAATTTAACAGAAAGAAAATTTATCATAATAAAAGTATATTGAATGTTATATTAATTTGCATTTAGTAGAGTAAGCATATACTATATTCCCCTGATTTAATATATTGTGAAATATACTACTACATTTCCCAGTGTAAAACTATTCTTCATTCCTGGGATAAACCTAATTTGATCATTTACTTTTCCATATATTTCTGTATTTTGTTCACTAATGTTTTGTTTATGATTTTGAATTCATATTGAAAAGTGAGAATGACCTGCAATTTTCCTTTGTCATCTAGCTCTTGTTTGGTTTCTGTATGAATCTGATGCTAAACTCATTACAATACTTGGGAATTATTCCCTTTCTTCCTGTATTCTAGAAGAGTATCTATAAGATTGAAATCATAATTTACTCAGTTAACCTTTAAATCATCTCTGATGTCTTTTTAAGAAAAAATCTTTCATTGTGAGATCAATTTTTTAATTATGAAAGAATTATTCAAAGTTTTAATTTTATTGAATCATTTTGGGGAAGTTATATTATTCTAGGCAAATATTCATTTTGTTTTGTAGTACCCTCTTTGGTATCCTTATAATCACTGAAAAGTTTATAGGTGTGAGACTTTTCTTAATCCTAATATTGCTGTTTTATATTTCCTTCACTCAGTCTTAACAAGAATTCATTAATATTTTTAACACATGAAATTTTATGTCTGTTGATACTCTCTATTGTATATTTGCTTTCCTTTTCATTTGTGACTATTGTTATCCTTATCATTTTTCTTATTCCATTGGTCTTCTCCTGGTTTTATTACTTATATGCATACCATCTTGATTTTCACACTTCTTTCTTTTCTAATATGAATATTTTAAGCTGCACTATTAAGTACATATATATTGAGAATTTTTATAACTTCAAAATAAATTAAATGTTTTATAATTATGTAGTGGCATTTTTTTAGTAATGTTTTGCCTGATATGTTTGGTTTGCTGCTAACATAACTCTGCAGCTCTTTTTTTTTTTTTTTAGTTTGCCCACTACATTTATCTCCACTTGTATTAATACTGCTGGTCACAGTATTGTTCTATTTTAAATATATCCTTTGTAGTTAAATATAGATGGACTTCCTATTTTATCCATTCTGAACAGTCTTTTAACTGGATAATTTAGTAGATTTACCTTTGCTATTATTACTAATACACTTGGATTTATTTCTACCATCTTATTTTGGAATTTCTCCAGTATCTTCTTTTTCTATTCTCTTTTTTTCTTTTTTACCTTTTTCCCCTTCCCACTTTGGAAGTTAGGAGTTCTGTTTTTGTACTTTTAGCAATTACTCTAGAAAATTTAAGATGTATGGTTAACAAAGAAAATTAATCCATATTCTATATAATCCTCTAGGGACCTCAGAAAATTTTATGTCCATTTACTGCCTCCTAGCATGATCCTATCCCTAGTATTTTAGTTCTTTTTTTAACTCTATAATTTGGCAATATGGTGAAGATTTCACCTCCCAAATATTTAAAGCTCTGCATGCATATTAACCTTTTAATTTTACCCATCCTTTCTTTTTTCATCTCAGGCTTTCCAACTGGGATCACTTTATGCCTTTAATACATTCTATAGAATTTCCTTTAGCAAAGAACTCTTGATGGAAAACCACCTCCGCTTTTGTATTGTTTTGATTTGATTGAAAATGTCTTTATTTTTCTATCATTTGAAAAAAATTGCAGTAAAATGAGAATTGAACCCAGGACCTAATGCATGATAAGCAAGTGCTCTACCACTGAGCTATATCCTGTCATTATTATTATTATTATTATTATTATTATTATTATTATAATACCAGGGATTGAACCCAAGGACATTTAACCACTGAGCCACATCCTCAGTCCTTTTTATTTTTATTTTTTAAATTTTGAAATAGGGTCTTGCTAGGTAGCTTACAACCTTGCTAAATTGCAGAGGCTGGCTTTGAATTTGTGATCCTCCTGCCTCTGACTCCCAAACTGCTGGGATTATGGGTGTGCACCACCATATCTGACTCCTTAGTCTTCATTCTTAATAGATAGTTTTATAGGGTATATTAGTCAGCTTTCCATCACAGTGACAAAACACCTTAGAGAATTAACACATAAAGAGGAAGAATTTATTTTGGCTTGTAGTTTCAAAAGTTTCAGTCCATTTTTGCTTGGATCAGTTGGTTTTGGTCCTTTGGTGAGGCAGAGCATCATGATGAAGAGTATGTGATAGAAAAAGTTGCTCACTTCATGGTGGTGGGGAAGTAAAGAGAGAAAAATGTTGGGGTCCCAGTATCCCCTTCAAGGACATGTTCCCAGTGACTTAACTTCCTTTCACTAAACCCAGCCTCCAAAAGGCTCCACCACCTCTCAATAGCACCATCAGCTGGTGATCAATCCTTCAGTACATGAGCCATTAGGGAAACATTTAAGATCCAAACCATAACACAGAGTATAGAATTTGAAATTGACAATTGTTCTTTCCTAACACATTGGCAATACAAATTCATTTATTTTTCTCATTTTCATTGTAATGAGAAGTCAACTATCAGTCTAACTACTATTGCTGAATAGGTAATCTCTTTGAGCCCTTTTTCAGAATTTTCTCTTTTTCTCTGGGGTTGTACTGTTTCACTATGATAGTTCAAGAGTAAATAACTTTTCTTAGGATCCACTAGGGATTTGGAATCCAAAGGTATGTGCCTTTCATCAATTAATTTAAAAATATCTCTATTCTATTTTTCTGGAAGTCCAATTAGATGCATATTAGAGCTTCTCATTCTGTTTTCTTTCTCTCTCAATTTTCCATCTCTATGCTGTCTGTGCTATATCCTAGGTGATTTCTTCATTTATGTCTTCCAGTTCATTACTTTTGTCTATGTCCATTGAATTTTCTTTTAACTTAAATTATGGCATTCTTATTTCTAAAGGCATATGTGTGTGTGTGTGTGTGTGTGTATGTATATATAAAGAGAGAAAGAGAAAGAGAGGGAGAGAAAGAATATGCATGAATATATTTGCATATGAGCAAAGAGGGGAAGGAGAAGACCATACAATGCATAATTGGCTCCAAACTTGAGCCACTTAAATGGAAATTTCTCATAAGTTAACCCTGAATTATGGCTGAGTTTAAAGACTCCTTCACAAGTTTTAAATACCTATCCCCTTTCAACTCTCTTTGCTACAGTTCATGTTTTGAGAATTGGGTCACAATCTGCATTTGTCTAAGATGGTCC